AGCTCCTTAATTCCTTCCAATTCAACTACGAAGAAAATGGATATTGAGGAAGAGGCCCAGTGCTGAAGAAACAAACAAAGATATTGATGAATGTTAGAGTAAGAATTATGCTATACGAATGTCCCTCATAAAAACAGCAGCGTTGTGATACTGGTACAGAACAAAGTCTCAATTGGAAATATTTATATTGTCGAAATCATCCAAAAGCAATAAAAGAAATGCAAGCTAAAGTGTTCAGGTACTAGCAATACAAGGTAGACTGAGCTAAAAAAAGGGCGTCGTCCGTAAATCTAGTTTACTTTTTATTTCTATGGTTAAGAATTCATCATACTATAGTACTCTGGAATTTAGCATGACTGAAATGAATGTAAATTATTTCGATATCACTTCAGGCGTTATTTCTAAAGGCCCTAGAAACACGTACACTGCCGCCTGACTGAGCAGAGCGCCTAAACTTTCATTCCAATGCGTACAGATATCAGGCATTCCCTTCACGAGTAATCTCATTTGTTAAACCCATGTTACCTGAGCAAACTTTGGACGGCTATCTCTAGTGGCATGCTGTATCTTAAATTGATTTCTAGTACATTTTGGCCATAACGCCGAATTTCTGTGACGGTTTGATTATCCATATGTCCAGACTCCCTGACTTCCAGACCCATAAATTTGTACTAGTATATTCCAAATGGACATCACTCGCTGACAACGTTTTCGCTTGATTGGCGAAAACCCCCGACCCCCATTTTCCTCATCGCGATCCCTTTTACTCCGATTAGCGATAGATCCTTGATTCAGCCGTCTCCTTTTTGCTGGTCTTGCTCTATTCTTATTTTCGCCGAGTTTGCTTAAGCAGTAGGCAAAGTTATCGCAAAGTTGTATCTGCTATGGCAATTAATCATATTGGACATTTTGTGCATAAGTTTATCTTTGAAACTGCCAGGGTAAAGATACCTTGTATATATATATATATGTGTGTGATCCATTGATAGTTTTAAAGGCCTTATTATAATCTAAGAATAAGATTGCCATAGCAAATATAGCTTTGCATCCTCGACGATCCAACCACAAGATGTGATATGGAAAAATGTTTAGCTTTTCTTGAAATACATATCTGCCAGATGCTCCAAGGGCGCTCGTGGCAATATGACGCAGTAGTTACCATATCAAAATAATATCCTGTATTGTCATGATTTGAGTCCCGCTTGGTCTGCTGATGAGACCAAGACCAGATCGAAACTGAAGTTAACTCTTGATGAGAATGCATTTTGGGGGCAAGGCTATGCAAAATGTAATAGAAACTAAACTTATATCCATGTGATTGTTAAGCAATTCAATTTCCAGCCCATTATAATCTTTAATGAGATAGAGTGAATACACCCTATAAAGATATTACTGTAATTCTCTTCAAAAAATTTAGAGAAGTAATTTATTTTAATTCTCAAATTTGAGCCATTAAGACTAAAAGGACAAGCAAATGTTACGATTTGGTTTATTGGTTTCCTACTTTTCTTGATATAAGATACCTGGAGAAAGGAAATAATATTTGGCGGGTCGATTTCTACAGTACTCCATATGCCAAAAATTTGACAACTCACACCAAACTGTTGTTGTATCTTTTTTGAGCGTGGTAAACAATTACTAAATGCATGTGCTATAGTTTTTACCATTATGGATGTATACTGAGCATGACAGCGTATCTTTCGTTTATTTTTATAAGGGCATTGTAAATATTGCTCACCGCAAATCATTGAGCCAGATGACGGTGAGCCGATAGCTTCTTTCAATTAGTTTAATTAGATTATGCCACAGTGTCTTTATTTAATGAATACCTTAAATTAAACTATTCCAAAGAAATGAAAAGAGCTCCAAGACCATTCTTTTCAGGGACCCTTCATTACCCTGCTTAACTTCACGCGCTAATTTAGAAGTCTACATGGAATACAAGTGCACTTATAAGAAATTGCATAATTCATAAATTAAAATATATAAATATGAATACAGTTTTATTTTTCAATAGGAAATTGTTGTAGTATTTGTATTGTTCATTATAACGTGTAGCCTCAAAGCATAAACTAAAATCTCACTTAAATGATGAACATAACCCCAAAGGCCATATAAATTTTTAAGTATGACGATTCAAAATATTCTTTATTTGTAAAAACCAATTGCATTTGTTGGTTTATTAAGGTAGTTTGTTAGAACTTTCTGGTTGCGCACGCCCAAGCGCCGTTATGTCACTTACCGTTGATGTTTCGACTGCTATCTCCGATTGCGAACAAAGCCGCAAAGAACATGTTCTAAATGATTCGTAATATCTTTTAAATATTTATGTCCATAATTATAGATGGAGATATTATCTATTTAAATATAAACTAAATTACAAATGGAAGGACTGCTTGAATTTGATTGCAGGGTTCAATACAGTGGAGCATTTCTGGAATGTTATTATGACTAATCCAAAAATGCCGGACTTGCCAAATAGAACTGATGTATTGGCCTTCAAATCGCATATTGCACCAAAGTGGGAGGATCCAAAAAATGAGAATGGTGGCAGGTGGTTAATGAGTAACTTCAACAAGGCAGATGCCGACAGGTAGCCCACATTCTCGCATTTAAATATACTCGCAAGTTCGGAATGAATCCGAACGCATCATGACCGCATTGTATCCATCTGTCTTTTACCCAGATATTGGGAGGAAATACTT